TTTAAATTTATTTATTTATTTTTTTGGTTTTTGGTGGTTTGGGTATTTTGTTTCGTTGGCTTTGTATTGTCCCATGCACTAATGGAGCACTGATATAGTTGTGGGATCACGTATAAAGGAGTAGGGTTTGTTGAGGTCCCAAAAATTTTATATATTACATTATATTTAATAATATACTAAACTTAATAGTTAATATTTCGAGTGTACGTGGGGTGGGTGTTATAGTTAATATTGAGATATAAGATATTAGAAGATTGATCCTAGGAGATTGTTAATTAGAGCACCTAAACATGTGCCAGAGTCACTTGAAGATGCAGCTCCAAAAGTTTTCAACACATGGGCAATTAGAAAATATATCTATATATATATATTAAAGCGGAGCAGCTGCCAAATTCCCGCTCAAACTTACATTAATTATTGTATTAATTATATCATAATTTACTTTCACGTTATTTTAGATATTGTCTAACCTTGGAATGTGTATTGTAGTTATTAATCAACTTATGTATTGATTGCAATATTGGGTAATTGTCTTCTTGGAAAATAAGAAGGATAATTTGTCACATTGGAAATGTTAAATTGTAATAGTGCATTCATAAGGGTCATATAGTAATTGATAGTAGTATTTATAAGTACATGGTGAATACACATTAAATTTTGTAGATAATTTGTATACTAAAAAACTATATACAGCAAAGTAGCTGGAAATTTTTTTTGTTTTCCCTCCCATTATATATTAAATGTTACTCATTAATTGTTTGATCAATTCAATAATTGTTGTAATTTAAAGCCCTATTGGAATTGTGTATAAGAGATATAATATTATTGGGAATGTTAAATAAGTTGGCAACTGTTTAGAATGTTGGGCTAATTCTACACATCTCAATACAATTAATAATTTATCAACAAAAACAAAATAATGAGTAACGTCAAAAAAATTTATTAATTATCCTCAATCGATTTGAGTTTTTTCAATTACAAAACCATATATCTTTTCATTATATAACCACAATATAAGGACCTAATGTAATCTTATTTTTAATTATACAACTTTCACAATCGTGGGTCATTTTGAAAGTATAGATTCTTAATCACATAATATAAAATTTAACATGGTTAGTTATATAATGCAACAAAATAAAAGTTAATAAAATTTAAAGATTAAAATATGTCATTTTTGATGATGTTTTATGTTAATTCATTGAGTAAATTTTTCGGTGAAAAACATTATAATAACTAAACATAAAATTATAACATATTAACTGTTATTCTCAAAATTAAAGGTATAAACATATCTATACAACTGGAATATCAATAAAAATTATGTTTCTTTCAAAACTTCATTTATGTTAATGAGATCGACGTGTTTGTACTAAAACATATTATGCATATAAATAAAATAAATAGAAAGAAGATGCAATGAGAGAACGATGACAAAGATACTAAAAGTCAGGTCTTACATATAATATAGTTTATTAAAATAAAATAGACATATTGTTCAAAAAAAAAAATACATCTAAGGTTTATTAAGTCTAGGAGCAAACCAAAAAAAATATGTCTAAAAATTGGTGGATAACTTTTACTTAACAATAAAATTTTGAAGATTTAGTTACATAACCAAAACAGTAAATACATAATAACACATTGAAAACATGCACTTCAAATAAATATGTCAAATCCTATGTAGATAATTTAAACAACATCAATAAATTATTTGTTGTAAAGGCTTAATTTCAAAATTAATTTATTAAGAATTTTCCTTCTAATATTTTATTTATTTTTTCCATTTCTTCTCTTAGTGAGTAACATAATTTTTTAGACATAAATAAAGAGTTAATTTTTATTAGAAAAATATTATTATGAACTTGCATGACAAGTTTACATTATTTCTGTTTTTTTTTTATTTTTGTGTGTGAGTTCCTTTTTTATATATTATATATTTTTATTTTTCAAAACAAATGATTCATTCTCTTTTAGTTTAGATTATTTTTCAAAGAAAATCTCAAGGTAGTATATCTTGAAATGATCTTGAGAAAAGTTAATATGATCATTAAAAGATACTATATTATATGTAAGACCCGTTATTTAGATTATTTGTGTGGAAACATCATTTTAAAAGTTTGTAAATATCATCATTTTAACTTTTTATCTATCTACAATTACCTAACATTTTTTTTATGAATAAAATAACATATTATGTTCATTATTGTTAAATTTTTATTCATATAACACAATTTTTTTTAAGTCAATACAAAACAAATAAAATCACTACTGAACCGTCGTAGTAGATAAAAGTGCAACACAATTTACTAGACCCGTTAATCATTAAATGTTCAGGTCAATACAATTACTCCTTTTTTTCACTTGGGATTTATGAGAAATATAATTTACTATATTTTTAGAAATGTACATTGACTGAATTTTGGTAAAATAATAAGAAAAAAAAATATTTAAATGATATTACATAAATACTAAAATAACAATATAATTTAAATATTTTTTCTTATTATTTTACCAAAATTCGGTCAACGTACATTTCTAAAAAAAGGTAAATTACGTATCTAATGAATCCCAAGTGAAAAAGGGAATAATATGTTATTAACCTGAACATTTAACAATTAACGAGTCTATCTGTAACTTCACCAAAAGTGATCCATTATGCACAACATTATCATATCACCACCACACTTTTCATACTAAAAAATAAAATGTTGAGTTTATTTTTCTAATAAAATATGTGCCTAATTTAAAACTAAATATATGAGAACCAAATTTGAGTCCCTTTTGTATTTATTTATTAAGTATTTAGTTTATGCTTCTTAATTCTAATTGACTCGCATATGTTTACTTCAATTATTTGTGTAGCAGTTTATTTGTATAATAGTAATACTGGCTTATTTTGTTCGATGAAAACTATTTTATTAAAGAGACAATTTTATAAAACAAAATCAGAGAATTAATGTGACAAATACCTTATTCGTTGAATATCACATATAAGTTTTTTAAGTTTAATGAATTTAATTTTTAAAGTTTGAAGCAAAAATAAATTATATTTCTCAATCACACACTCATATATTATTTGTTGAGTTATGATTTTTTTTAATGAACATTTTAAGATGTGATAAACCAAAGAATTATTTTATATTTTATTATCTCTATACAATTCT